CTCAGGGAAACAAAGATGAAGACGAAAAGAGTAAATGCTCTAAAAGTGGGCAATACTTGCACTCAATATCGGGTCAGTACTACTGTATAACCATATTCTCGAGGGACAAAAACCAGATATCTGGTCAGAGTCAACACCAACCACATGGACGAGGACATGGACCTGGACGAGGGCCTAAAGGTGGACATAGAGGAGGGCATAATGGGGGACATGGGGGGCCACCAGAACATAAACCTGGAGGTGGACCAGGAGGACATGATGGAGGGCCTGGAGGTGAAGGCAAAGGTGGTCCTGGAGGTGATAGAGAAGGTGGACCTGGAAGTGATAGTGAAGGTGGACCAGGGGATGGTCCTGGAGGGGGGTCTGACTCCGAACATGAACCAGACCGCGAGGGTGGACCAGATCATGGACATGGAAATGGAAATAAGTCTGAAACAAACGGTGCACAAAGATCTGGACACAAACGTGAGAAGAGGTCTCCTGGTGGTAGGGGTGGACCTCCTGGTGGTGGACCTCCTGGTGGCGGACCTCCTGGTGGTGGTGCGGGTGGACCCATGGAATCATTTGTAATAAAGATCCCGGTGGAAACTATGTTGACTACAAAAGACATTGTATTACACATCCATTTCCCTGAAGAGCGTATCTACCGGTCCCACAAAAAGGGTTCCCTAACCCTGCGATTCACGGACACAACGGTATATCGTATGAAATACAGGCAAACAGTATTGAAACACTTATACAAACTTAATAATTATAAATATGATTGTCTTGAGGGACAACAGACTCGACCAGAGTGTGAGTTTGAGTGCGAAATAAGCGCTTATTTCGCGAAACACACGAATCAGAGCTCAAGAAATTTGATTTACAAGAAGTTCAACGGTATGTCAATCAGTAATGAGAGGTATTTTAATAAGACATCTGACGCTGACATAGAAGAAGACTGTAAGTGGAAGTGTGGGGACAGGGATGAGTGCATTCAATACTACTATTCAATGGATACTAGCTTTGAGAATGTCTATAACAACAACTCGTATCAGATGACCATCCAGTTCCCCACCGAACCCACCACTACCTATGAGATATCGTTGAAAATGAGTTTCGAGGAGTACTTGAGTTTTATAGGAAGTGTAGTCAGTCTATGGTTTGGATTCTCGATTCTCTCGCTTTCAAACTTCGCCCAACAAATGTCTTTTAGGCTTAAGTTATGGCAGCTATTCGTTAAGCAAACAAATATTCATGCATTTAATGTCAATCAAAATGACATCAAATGCTATGTCAGTGTTAGACGTAACACAAGAGTTAATAGCTATCATTTGTAATAAAGATCCCGGTGGAAACTATGTTGACTACAAAAGACATTGTATTACACATCCATTTCCCTGAAGAGCGTATCTACCGGTCCCACAAAAAGGGTTCCCTAACCCTGCGATTCACGAACACAACGGTATATCGTATGAAATACAGGCAAACAGTATTGAAACACTTATACAAACTTAATAATTATAAATATCGTTGTCTTGAGGGACAACAGACTCGACCGGAGTGTGAGTTTGAGTGCCAAATAAGCGCTTATTTCGAGAAACACACGAATCAGAGCTCAAGAAATTTGATTTACAAGAAGTTCAACGGTATGTCAATCAGTAATGAGGGGTATTTTAATAAGACGTCCGACACTGACATAAAAGAAGACTGTATGTGGAAGTGTGGGGACAGGGATGAGTGCATTCAATACTACTATTCAATGGATACTAGATTTGAATATGTCTATAACAACAACTCGTATCAGATGACCATCCACTTCCCCACCGAACCCACCACTACCTATGAGATATCGTTGAAAATGAGTTTCGAGGAGTACTTGAGTTTTATAGGAAGTGTAGTCAGTCTATGGTTTGGATTCTCGATTCTCTCGCTTTCAGACTTCGCTCAACAAATGTCTTTTAGGCTTAAGTTATGGCATCTATTCGTTAAGCAAACAAATATTAATGCATTGAATGTCAATCAAAATGACATCAAATGCTATGTCAGTGTTAGACGTACACAAGAGTTAATAGCATTACAGTTAACAGTAATACCATTAAGCGCCACTAAATTTGTAAGCATAGGATAAACAATATGTTAATTTTTAAAGTCATTCAATAAGTAGAAATAATTCAGACAATAAATGAAGTTAAAAATTATGGTATCAAAACAATAATATAAAGTTTTGTTATAATATGATATTATAATAATATATGTTACAAATCACAATATTACATAGTTAGTAAAACATATTTATTCAGCTTGATACTTTTCATAACTATTTTTAATGGTATATTTTTATTTACACAATTAGTACTTTACATCAAAATGTAACATGCAAACTTTCTAAATTCAGTAACATGTAATACTAAATTAACATTGAGTGTAATTGTTTTAAAAATATTTTCAAGAAATTAATAATTACTGTATTAAATGCAATAATAAAATTAAAATTAAAAACAAAACTATTTATCATTGATAACAAATGAATTCATTAATCTATGATTGTAAGTAAAATTAACATTATAAAATTAATTATTAATTATAAATTTTTTAAATTTTTTAAATGGATTTTTTAAATGTTTTTGTTTAACATAATTTTTAGTAATTATTTTGTTTTTTATTAAAATAAAAACTTAATATTAAAATCACTATGATGTATAATATAAATATGTAATTTAGTCCAAACGCGTTTTAATTATAATAATCATTTGACATAAAAAAAATAATTATAATAATTATTGATTTTTTAAATGCTTTTGTTTTTTCATAATTTCTAGTAATTATTTTATTTTTTATTAAAATAAAAACTTCGTGTTAAATATTTCATTTACAAGTTAGTTTAAATGCATTATAAGTATAAAATCAATTGACATAAAAAACTTGTAATTAATATAATTATAACATGTGATGATTGCATGTCTGTCCGGAATGGTATGTATGCTATCGTTAGTACACTTGAAGGACACGTTCAGCTCGACCACCAGATCTCTGAACACCCGATACCTGAAGCAAAGAAGTGGACATACAGTTTGTCGAGATTTGACGCAACCTTTTTACCTCAAGAGGTCGACCTCCAGAGGGGACAGTTGTGTATAAGTTGAGTGCCTCTAAATACTGTACCACATTTATTAATATTTAACATTTAATAAAATTAAATTACCAATTACAATTACTAGTTGATTATTTTGATCATTTAATAAACAATTCAAAAATAAATTTATTCTTATTTAACAAATAATGCACATGATAGATAACACAAATTATATATTGTAATTTATTAATAATATATGGTTGCCCAAACTACAAATTCTGCAAATAATCTAAAACATATAGACACTCAATGTATAAAAGGGGACCGGGATGTTCACCAATTCCACGGCCACTTTGGCACCACCGTTTGTGGGTCATTGCACATAGGCTTGTCAGTGTACCAGCCCGTTTTGGCACCCTCCACGTGCATCGTAAAATTGACCGTGGGGCACTTAAAAATTGGCACCTCTTGTTGAACGTTGATAGCTTTAACATTTTTGAAAGTAGCCTCACCACCCATGCCCTGCAACTGTAGCGCGAATGTGCCCGTACCGTTAATTAATAGATTGTCGAAAGTGACCCCGTACACGTGGTTATCGATAAACATGGCGGCCGCGTATGAGGCGTCGATTATATCGCAGTCTACGACGTCTATTACAGCGTTTTTCATGTCCTCGTTGAGCCCACTGAACCATATGGAGCCGATGCCAAAGTTCCAGTTGAAGTCCGAGTTACCGGCCCTGTTATGTAGAGTGACCAGGTTATTAATCAGTAAAACTTGTTAAATACACATGAGTTTACCTGAGCATAGTGTTCCGGTACACTTTGTGGTGACCCAGAACACCTGTTTCTCCTTTAACACTGGCATAACGGTTGGCAATGTGTATACCCCCGCCGTTGGTTATAGTGTCGTATACGAAGTTGTCCGACACTTCGATGTCTTTCCCGCCATAAATCGCGATATTGTTGGCCAACACCGGAATACCGACGGTGTTATTGATGAACTTGTTGGCCACATTCGGGTAGGTGTCAGCCCACATGGCCAGCCCGTCGTCGCCCAGGTTGCGTAGGAACGTGTTCTGTACGACAGAGTTGGTCACCCCTTTGTGGAAATTGACCCCATCGGCTGTGGTGTCCTCGATGCGACTATTTTTAATCACCAGATTATCCATTTTCCCATCCATCCATGCACCTAGTTATGTTTAAAATATTTAATTTGAAATGTGTTTTTAGTTACAAGGTAAAATATTCTGACATTATTTATTTTTAAAATGTTTATAGTGCCACCTACCGACTTTAACGTGTTGAATCCATAAATTGTCCACGACCGAATCGGTAAGTGCGCCACCTAGGCCGTTTGTTTGAAACTCATCTATGCGCTCCCTTATATCGCCGATAATTGCAAAATTGGACAGGTGCACATTTTTGCTGCCACCGCCACTTTCAACATATTTACCGTAAACGCCGCACGTTTTATCGCGTTCGGTCGGATGTCGACCACCGAGCACACTATGCCACGGTCCCGCCCCTGTTAACGTAACACCGTCCACGATAACGTGCTCGTAAATCGTGTATGTGCCCTACGGGGATGTCAAAAATTGTTTAGTACCTTTTGAATATTTTAAATTTTTTCCTATATTTTAAACAATTAAAATAAAATTTTAGTTATTATTATACTATTAATTAGTGGTAATAGGTTATAATTAATATTATTAAACTATAAATCTATAAATCTATACGTTAAAGACTACTTTTGATTATTTATAATAAATAAACACAATTATTAGTAATGTAATCTTGATACCTTTGGTATATAGACGACTTTCTGTTGCTGGTGTCCATCATCGACCGCTTTTTGAAAGGCCTTCGAGGAATCAGTTTTACCGGTCGGGTCGGCACCGTATGCGGCATCGGTGACCGACAACGAGCCCGTGGGTTGCGGAATGGGTGGGCCTACCAGCTCGAAGTCAGCAAGGTCAATGGTGAACGTGGGCGATTTAGCGGTAGACGTAACTTGCACTTTCACCTTGGTGCCTTTCGGGTACGTTTTGTCCAATAGCGTGCGTATGGTGTCGTAAAAGTGGTGCGGATTTCCGCTATGGGGGTCGTTGTTGAACGGATAGCCCCCATAATACCAGCTGTACCTCGACGTGAACGTCAGGGCTGTCAGTTTGGCACCGGCCACGTATAGGTCTATGTCGGCGTCTCGGATGTCCTTATCCTTGCCCTGTGCGGTGTCCGGTATGCTGTACCGGATGACCACCGAGTTGGCCTCAATGGGCATGGTGAATTCAACATACTGGCCCACGGCATTCAAGGTAACTGCTCGACGTTGACTAGCTTCCGATGATAAATTGCCGTAGTACCTATCATTGCCTATTATGAATAAAGCATTAATAACTACATATTTATATATGCTAGGCTCAATTTATTATAATTATTTTTTTAAAAATTAAAAATAATAATTTAATATTTAGTTAAAATCTGAAATGTTGTTAATAGAGTATAAACAAGTATTGTTTTATTTTTAAAAATTTTCAATTTAAACCTTTATGAATAAGTTTAATTAAAAATTATCAAGTATGCAGATGATTGTTTGTAATCATAAATTATTTTTCTATACGTATAATTTAAAAAGAACTTTAGAAATAATTACATTAACTAGCCAGCTATTTTTTAATACGGTAAACATATTTAAATAATAAATTAATTAAATATTAATTATCAAAAACACACTAATAATATTTACTTTTATCTCAATAATAATTATGTTTAATGGTTTACCTATTAATTGTCCATTATGGTCAGCATGCTCAGCCTCGACCTCGACAAATGCTACCTGGGCACCACGCCCTTTTAACCAGTCAACCGCATTTATTGAATAAAATAGCAAGCATGTTATAATAAAAACTTTCATTTTACTTGCTATATTAATTTCTAATACATAGCTACTAATTCAAACAGTGTGGTTTTTATAGATTTTTGCTTCAAGGCTACATTCTCGTTTATATCACTCCAATATAATTATACCCGGATATTGTTTCAATATATAATATTTAGGTTTATTAGTACATATTGATTAATAATAGAAATAATGTCAACGTGATAACTATTTACTAAAGTTTCACTGATACCGATTAACTTATTATACTTCTATACTTGTAAATAATTGTACTGTATAATGCATAGATTTATTAAATTTAATAAGTTATGGTCAGAAATAGGTCAATAAATTATTTTTTTTTTTATTTGAAAAAATTAAAAAGTAAATAAAATGCTTTAAAATGAACTAACAAGTAAGCATGTTTAAAAGTAGCTAGGTAATTCATATATTGATAATTAAAACAAATATTTAATCATTTAACATAATTCATAATAAAACAAAAAAGTATTTGTTTTGCAAAAATAGTTTTAAAAAACTTATACTTTTAAAAGTTACGTGAAAATGTAAATAAGAAATTTAATTATGTTTCACAAAAACATGAACATTTGAATAAATAATAATCATTAAGCAAATAACGTGGTAAGTTTTATTGGCAAACAACAAAAAGTAAATATTGAATATTTGTATTTATTTCATATAAAGTGTTAATATAACATTGAAAATGATAAACATGCTAATTATCATATTATAGACTTTTTATTAAAATCACCATTACAAATTATCAGCTATGAAACTTATTTACGATTACGTCTTACTTGACAATGGTCATCGTCCAAATTACCATCAAGACTACTATAATTTCCCGAACCTAGTTCGCAATCTAACGGGCATTTTATAGGATTCTTAGCAAGCTTATTTAAGTATTCATAACAATTGTATATTGCTTTTGGTTCGCAATTTCCAAACAATCTTATACCAGTACCATTGACACATCCCATAGTCCTATTGCCACACCAATATCCCCAATAATTGCCGCATGTACAGTTATCTTGAATTTAAAATTTTGTTTCTTATCAGGCTTATTAAAATTTATAAATTATTACTAAGAAATATAAATTATCTCAATGCATATTTTATAGTCTTATTAATTTATATGTTAGCTAATACTAAAATAATACTCTTAAGTGATTTTTAGCAACTACTAAATATACTTGTTAAAAACTTTGACAAATTATTAATAATTGATATAAAATAATATTAATTAATAAATACCAGCGGTATATAAATTTATAACTGAATGCTAGACTTTAAACTATGATATATAAATATTATAAAATTATTTAAGTTAAAAATTAAATATTTTATTTTTTATTACTTGCACAATTTTGACTTGGTGAGTTTTGAGTTTGTGAGATGCATTGCCAAAAAACCTGCATGATTATCATTGACAAAATTACATACTTAATATTTGTATTCATTTTGAATGACAACTATTTATTATAAATAAAAATCTAAAATGATAGCTTCGTATGCTATAGAGTTAATATAGAGTTACCAAAAGTTTTAATTATTTGTTCAACCTCATATAACTTTTTTAATAAAACAATAGCTTTATGATGAACTAGTTTAAACTCTATTCATTTGTAATCAATAAAAACCACACTGTTTGAATTAGTAACTATGTATTGGAAATTAATATA